GTGGAACAATGAGGGCTAGGTTTGGAAGATGGCAATAAAATCAAAACAGCAGCGTAATACAATAGACTAAGTTTACAGGCATTTGGCTGAATGTCCTGGTTAACTAAAAGTCCTTTGCTCAGTATACATTCAAATGCATGAGAACGCTCAACTTTGTTAATCACCATTCATTGCTTACTTTCAGCAATGAGGAGCTCATCACATCTTAAAATATTAACTACTTAAATACTCATAATTACCTTAATTACATAAAACTGAAAAAAAAAATCTGCCTCCAATAATACTGAGTCTGCTTACGTATAATAAACTAGATCTAATATTGTGGCTTTTTGTAAAACTATATGAAAATAAACATAATCAGGAATGCTATTGTTCTTCTATGCAATCTTTCCTAGAGTGAACTAAGTGACCTTTTGACTTTTCAAGAATGCTTTCTTGGTTACTTTTCTGTTACTATAGTTTTATATGCTAGCCAGTTTAGGCAAAGTCATTGCACTGTTTCCATATAGACAGAGCATCTGCAGAGTCTAAAATTGCCTTGATAAGAATAAGGAGGAATAATTTATTAGATCAAAAGTAATTTTAAATTTAACATCTACAGTGACAACAACCAAAACAAGAAAATTTATGTCATTTGACACTAAAATAGGTAACACTTTGATTTCCTTCTGAAAAAAAATTGCATTTATCTGTAGGAACCTCCCCTACCTGTCCATTTTCTCAGTATCCAGAGCACTAAATTATTCCAGGATCTTCCTTGCCTTCCTCTAACACAAATTTGGACAGTGCATTCATTGTGAGAATAGAATTTGCCATCTTCTGCTGGTGTTTGACAGAAAGCAGACTTCTTTGAACAACCCTGGGTTTCTTGGGGACCTGTCCCTTCCATGAATCCTGTTCCCCAGATGTTCTTCTGTAATTTACTAGTCGAGTTAGTAAACAATGAAATCAACCTTCTGAGATTCAGCTCTCCCCACTGAGACTTAGATGTTGATAAAACACTTGGGGTTGATGTCATTTTTACATTCTTTGTGAAATGGATTTTGTTTATTTAACTTAGGATAGGTACCAATAATGTTGAATAAAAACTGAATGAAACAAAAGGGTATTTCTCTAAAATCCAGCAAGCAGGCAATTAGTGAGAGACCTATTCTGAGCAATGAAAGTTCGACGGCTGCTTTTATTGGCTGCATTTCACCATCAGACTTTAATTACAGGGGTGGCTAAATTTTAAAAAACATGATCACTGCTAGTTAGTCCATTCATTCAATTAAAGCAATCTGTACCAACGTACCAAAGCTCATTCTAGTGTCAATTTGTCAATTTAACAAAGCAAGTGCAATACACAA